AAATAAATTTTTATTTTGCCATCTCATTATTGTTATCTTTAATTATAACAAAATCCAACTCCGCTGATAATTTTGACCGCCACTGTGATTCTGTACACACATGTAAATCATCATAAACTTGGGACCCCTTCGCAGAGACCCGAGATAATCGTTTCAAGCATTTAACGCGTTTGTATGGAGCACAAGAAAAAAACAAACCCGAGAATGGAATAAAATCCACTCAAATTTCACTTCATTTATCACGAAATCCATCATCAGCCAACGGCAAGCAGCAGTTAGCAAAGGAGCATGGAAAGTATGGACGGTGGAGGAGAATACATGGATGGAGTGAGGGAGCCAAAGTTACTTGCATTTATTTGATTTTGATTAATCGTCAACGAAATTAACCGGAATTCATGGGATGAGGCCTGTTTGCCTGTAGTTGCTTGCTAATGGAGTTGATTTTTTTTTTTTGGCTGGGCAGGAAACTGCATTTACATATGCACACGAGATGCATACATATGTACGTGTGTGTATATCTGGCAGATACATATCATTTCACTTGCCAGGCCCCACACCGCAGAATTCCATGCCAATGTTTTGACAAACAGCAGCAGCTGCCGCCTACTCAGCATTCAGCATATCCGCATCTTCCCGGTGCAGAACGGAAAAAGAGGAGCGGAGTGTGTAACTCGGATGGATGGATGGATGGGATGGTTGGATCGTCATTTTCACGCGCCCTGTGAGAGGCACACATGTGTGCTACACACGCTGGCGACAGATCGCATCGGCTGATCCACATCCAAATCCACACCGACTGGCAAAACAGGATATGCGGACGCTGCACTCGAACCGCAGCAGAACAGCCAAGTCGAAGCTAAACAAACATCTCTCAATTGAATGGTGATATTTGATTAAGATATAATGGAATAATCTGTGGTTAATCACAGAGTGACGGCAAGTAATGCCTCTTAATTATAAACCAGATATCAAAAGGAATTTAAAATATTAATATTAATTTTAAGTTGAAACGTTCTATAATGTTTAATACACAGAAAACAAATTGACAAAAGATCAGATTGATGTGTGCATGTTAATTTTATATCTTTTAAAGATCAAGTTATTCATATAATTTTGATATGAATAAGGACTATGTTTATCTTAATTTACAATATTAAAATTACAATAATTGATATGATAGCATATCCAGTTAATATGTTTGAATCGTAAATTTGGCACTAATCATAACGGCTTTTTAAGGAGAATTTACCGCACTTCACATCGAATTATTTTTCTATGTATGAGATTTTATAGTTCAATCTACGATTTCTCTTGTTTTCTCCGAGATTCAAGATGCGAGCTTACATTTCGTTATGCAATTTTCTCAGAACGAATCTGAAATGCACGCTTCACACAATATATAACTATATAAAGAACCACAATAAAGGAAGTACAGCCCTCATATCACAAGCCATTGTACCCTAACGTTTAGCTGTGGCCCGAGAGTAAATCAGGTTTTATTTGAAATCCCTGCCATTTGCGATTCCGAGAATAATTCGTTAATCTCTCATCTGATAAGCGCATCTAAATGAGCAATTATTGTATTCATTGTAATTATTGTATTCAAATTGAAGATCATGCGGAGCTGCTGCTGTTCAAGTCAATGCCAGAGTAATCGCTGATTTAAAACGAATCCACGTAGATGAGAAATAACCCAATGGCCACATATTAGTGTGTCGCCTTGTTCCGTCTGAAGACGCGACGGACGTCTAGTCGGGGTTTTTCTGCTGATCGGTCAGAACGCATCGCTCGGAAGGCCCGACAAATCAATGACCCCCTTCTTCTTTGCGTGTGCAGTCAGCCGAGGGAAAATCGACAGGTTGGCATTTAAAATTTAAACTTAAATTAAAAATACAATTTCGTTGAGGAAATGTGAAATGTGTGTGTGAAAAGTGCTAGCCGCAGCGAATAAATAAATTAAAATATATGTTTGACACGGGGGCTACCAGTAATATTTGATATGCTTTTGTTTCTAGCAAATATATTTTTTGAAAACGCTGAGGCGACTAAAAACGCTAGCAAAACGCATTCAAAATGCTGCCACACGCTTTTGTCGTAAAAAGAAACGTGCGCTTATGTATTTTACGTCTATACTATTTATTTGGTTTTTGTGTTGCTTTGCGCTTTGGTAATTATTATTATTATTATAACTATTTTTGTTTGTTTACGCGAACAGGCGGCGGCAGACGACAAAATTGATAAGATTAGCTAGGGAACTCGGGAACCCAGAAACTCGGGAACTACCAAACCTAGGCGACCCTAAAGCAGCGGCCGCCTGTCGAACGGTCGGTCGGTCATATACCTGGGAATTAGTATTTACTACCCCCCAAAACCCACACTTCCACGCTCTTATCAGCCTGCCTCGTCGACGTCGTCGGTCTATATCAGTTGGAAAGCACAATTTCGAGGCGATACGAATGATTCCATCGATTCCATCGCCATATAGAATATGGAATCATGACAGGTCTGCACTTGGCTTGATGGAAATGAAACTGGGTCTCTGCCGGCTGTCCATCGAAGCTTACCGTCGTTTCAATCAAATGCCGACTTGTCTTTCGAAAGGTTTTTCGGGGAAAACTACTCGATGGCGAGATTTTCATGTGGGTGTGCCTTTGACTCTTTGTCTTTCGAATACGAAACACAACAATGCCCACATCAAAAGGTGTTTTTCGTATTTGTTGCGCTTTCGAGGGTTTTTATCTGTTGTTGTCTGTTGCTTGGCATTTTGTTGCGATTTGTCATGGGCGCAACCGACTGACCAAGGGGACCAGGAACGAACAGGGAGCCACCCGTGGCGAATTTATTATTAAGAGACCCAGTGGACTGAGAGTGCGACTGCACAAAGCAAATCAAATACACAAACAGAGAGATCTGCACCTGGACGGATGCCCAGACAATTGGCAGGCGTGTATAAACCCCGGCCAAATTAGAAACAAACAAAATACAATGGTCACTTCAAAACAGAGGTATTAAAATATATTTCAAAAATTTATTTTTATTGTTCTATAGAATTTATCTTTATATTTATGTCAATGCGATATGCAGTTTCAGATGTAGCATTGTAATAAATATTAAACATATTCATGGTCGTTTAAAAGTAATAAGCTTGATTGCTTTGAATAGTATTTACTAATTGCTATGGAAATCTGGATTTACATGTTTTGAAAAACCCATAAAATATGCGTACATGTGGATTTTCATTTAAAATATGTAATAATTTAATGATATTTTATTAAGTTACTAACTTCAACTTGATTTCTTTAAATGGTCTTCACTGATTGCTTGGATTTTTACGGCTTGACATTATTACTAGCAAATTCTAAAACTAATAAAAGTCCTCTGATTGCGTCCACTGTGTTTTTGAATATTATCAGAGTTATTAAAAGATCAAAGAATGTTTTGCTCGAAGAGGATAAAAAGGGATTATATCAGTGTGTATCTACCACGCGCGGTCGTAAAATTCATTTGGCTGTCTAAGCCCAAATCAAATGCTCAGATGCATATCAAAATAATCTAGGCAAATGAAATGAAATGACAACAAAGTTGGGCACGGAAAAAGGCATAAAATATGTGCGTACAACACCCCAGAATGGAGAAGGAGAAAGGGGGAACCCATAAAATTGACAGCTGATCTTTTTCTCTCCCTTTTTTCTGTTTTTGGGTATCCACTCTTCGAATAAGGGGTGCCCGGATTGTGGTTCTCGGTTCCTCTTCGTATTATTTGTTCGTTTTTCAATCTTTTTGGCTCGGTTCTACCTGCTCAGGGTCATAAAAAATTAAGAAAAACATGCACAACTCCAGAGAGAAACGGAGAAACGTCGCATATTTTAAGCCGATGGAATCTCCTTGGGCTGGTCAGGAGACCCGAGATCCCAGACACACTTGGCATAGAACCAGAGAGCCGAACAACAGAACGCAATTAGAAAACGAATTTCAATTGAAATGAGGGAAGGAGGAGAGGATACAATAGGATATGCCCAGAGATTTGTAATATGAGCGCTGCATACTTATGAGACCATGATCATGCCAATGATAATGGCACTACTATACCATGATGATGGCCATGTCCGCCGATCCACTGGCCGATAAGCGACAAGTCTGAGCCGCAGTGAAAGCTTCGAGGAAAATCTCCCAGAGAATCGCAACTAAAACTATAAATGGCCAAAAGCCAATTCCCAAGATAAATGGTAGTAGACGAAACCAATCGAATTGTAAATACTCCTCTTTTTACGAGCCAACAATTAAATAAATACCACTTTTATTGGTTTGCACTGGTAAGCTCACTCGTTTTATTTTCATTTTCAAACTAAGCTTGTAGTTTATTGTACAGCTCAGAGAATCATGATAAATCAAAAATCTGGTTTATGTTTATTTAATAGTAATAGTATCAGCTAAGAGCCTATTTTCGTATCGGTTTTTTATAGCTTCTTATTGTGGTATTAAGCTTTTACAACAATAAAGTAATAAACTCAATTAAAAGTTAAAAATAAATCATTTACGATGTTGTTTTTAATACAATTACCATATCTATAAATTCTTGTTAGAGGCAAACGCGTACATTTTTTATCAGCTAGGTGCTTTTATCTTTATCACAAAGACTCTTATCTTTGTCATACTAACATGATGTGATAATAAATATTTAAAAATTGAGTAGACCTTATCAAAAATGATATTGTTTTTGACTTTTTTTTTGCTGTATAAGGTGGGAGATTAAAGTCTTAAGGAAACGGGCTGTCACGGCGGTATTTTTAGTAAAATTTGCCAATCATGATGTAGCCTTCTCTTAAGAAATTCAATTCATAAAGACTTTACTAACTATAGTATATTTTAAAAAGAATTCCTATCATTTCTTTTTTACCCACAACTAATATACCCCAATAGAAACCCGGGACAATTGTTTTTCCGCTGGTTTTCAAGGTGCACGAGAGAAAAAAGCAAAGAAATGTTATATTAATATTTACCATGAGCCTTCTTCTTTCTGGATTTCGGCGCCATGTCTGATGGCTACAACAACAACAGCAACAACGACGTGGGCCAGAGGCGCAGCAACAGTAACAACAACAATGCTGATGATTTTTATACGGCGGCGCGGCTGCAATGCAACTTAGTCGTTCTTTTTTTCAGTTCTGTTGGCCTTCCTTCTCTATATAGACGTGGATCGGGATCGGTATCGGGATCCCGGGTGTTTTGGGGCCAGTTTCCCCTTTCGAATCCCCTCTCTCTTTTCCGGGGCTTGTGCAGCAAAACAATAAACGCGAGGCAGGCAACAAAAGCAAAACAAAAGCACCAGGAGAACTGGATTCGTTGTATCTCGCAGAGTCTTTCGGTTGCTTTTCTTCTCTGGAGTTGGGGTTCTTCGAGTCTTCGAGTCTTGGTTTTGTTTATAGGCAGGCAGGCGGCGGTCAAGCCGGCGACACCATGGAGCCCGCGAAGAAGAAGAAGAGAGCGAAATTATGGGTTTCGCCAAAATAAAAAAAAATAAAAACAGAAGAAAAAAACTTGATCCTGTGTCTTCTCTTTTCCGATCTTTGCTTTTGCTTTGGCTTGGTGTGAGCGCGTGATCACGTTGATTATAATTATATACGAAAGGTGGCAATACAAATCAGGTGAAACTCAATCCCCAGTTAAGGCATATCCTGTGTTTTAGTCGTTTTGTATTTATGTTTACACTATTTTGATTGTCGACACTTGGCACTTGTTTGTAATCATAGAAATATTGGGGAATTTCTTATATCAATCTTTAACTTGTATGGTTAAAAAGCCTTTGAAAACACTTTTGTATTTTTGGTTTTATTTTTAGTTAACAATAGTCACAGGTTTTGTTTTTAAATCCAAAAAATGTTGGCTTTTCTTAGAGACGCGTGAACAAAATTCGACGATTTCTGGATTGTATCTCAAAATATGTTTGATTTCAACAATCCGCTGGATACGTCACGACTCGCGGAGAACGTATCTACGAATGTGCAACAGTTGAAAACGCCGCTGCTAGTAGACCCGAAAAAGAGAGGGGAGAGAGTAAGCGGCTCTCGCAGAAAGAGAGTGAGAAGGTGAAAACGCGTGAGAGTGCTACTTTTGGGCGTTTAAAAACGCGCCGTATCTCGACTTGCCAGCGTTTAAAAACGCGCGGAAGGTAAAGATACTTTTTTATGCTCTCCGCTCTCTCTCTCTCCCTTTGCATTTGTTCTTGTTTTGAGTTCTCACTTGAATTTCAAGTTTTTTTTATCCAAAGGTGTGTGCGTGTGTATCTTGATCTTTGAGTTAGCATCGTTGTTGTTGTTCGTGCTCGTATTTCTTTAGCTGCTTATTATAACTGACATATCTAGATGGGGAGTACATATATGGGGGGATATATCGGGAGAATAGGGGATTCGGAATCGCCTGCATAATTGCAGGGCCCTTTATGCATGCTTGCATACATATTTGTGCCGGGAATAATAACAGTTTTGGTCGAATTTGTTAGCGGGCAAGCGTGTGATTAACAGCAACACCATTGCCAACTAATAGTACTCCGCCTCCTGTTCTCCCGAGCGCATCCATGAGATATCCACAGATACTAAGTTACCCAATTGCATCTCCAAGATATCCATTTTCCAGCCTCTGCGGACTCATTAGCCGCACAGTAGTCGCAGCTAATTATGGCCTAGACTCTGAGGTTTCCATTCTTCTACCTGTGGAAATCAGAAGCGCTTAGCACTTCGGCTTTCTGCAGGTAAACTCCTGGCATTAAAAACGCATTTGAACCATACAAACGACCTCTGTGATCCGCGCATAACTTGCTCATTTATGGATTGCGATAACACCCGGCAGAATCGCTGCCCCGAACTTTAACATCCACCTCCGTCTGCTTTAAAAAAAAATATTTTTAAAACTTGTCACTTTAAAAAAAGATGTACAAATAATAGATTATTAATTGAACATTTTTCATTTTAAATTATTTATTACATACAAGTATTTTAATCATTCCTTTAAATTTCAGTTTGCTAATAAATTTACTTTTTACTAAGAAATGGTATAACTTTTTTCTTAATTGTAACATCTCATGTTCCCATTTTTATAAATAACTATTTTCATGTAAATTAAAATTTTTCTTCGTGCATTTCCACTCGAATCCCAGTGGTGATCTTTCGTTTATTATCACGCCCGCGGCCATAATTCATTTCGATCTGGTTCGGGGTCTGCTCTGCTTTTGTCTAGTCAAAATCTCTGGATGATGCCCCCAGCTCCAGTTGCCCAGCTTCCTAAATGCCCGGATTGTGGATGAGGCTGCTGCTGGTTTGCTGTTGCCTCCGAGGTGTGATTTCTCAAGTGTAGGAGTCATGCGGTGCACAGCCAGACGCTGAGAGGCTGCACCAGAGACAGAGAATCGGAGGAAGGGAGAAGGCATATGGAGAGAGGGGGACAGCGAAGGAGACTTCCAAAGGGACTGGTTCCAATCGGCCAGAGGGCAACTGCTTGTGTACCCCTTTCAAGGGGAGCCAAGAAATCAAGTTGGATCTGGGGATGCCATCAATTGAGTTTAATGGCTAGCAACATACCATTTATATTTAATTCGTTAGAAGAAAAGAGTTCCTTATATCTTTTTATATTTTCAGTGAAAAAATGTGTCAAGATATATATTGGTAAATATAACTTTCGGTTTTGAAGGTAAGGCTGGGGGTAATAAAAGTATAAGTATTTTTATTCGCATATATCGGCTATAAAGTCAATGGGTATTGTTTGCAGAATTTTTAAAACAATAAAAAGCTAATGGAAACTGCAAGCTAAAGTAAATGATTCACAAAAGAGCAGGTTGCCAAGAACATAAAGCCTCAAATATTTTGATAACCTTCCAAGAAACAGTTTTGTTTATAAAAACAAATGAAATTATAATATTTCTTTCTTATTAAATTATCAGCAAATCTTATTGCGATTTTAATGCTTACTGTACACCTTACAGTTTTTTTTATTTCTTTAGAGAAGATAAGCCTACTTTAAAATCATATTTCTATTAGTCCGCCACGCTTGAGAAATTGACAGTGGAATGTGCAGGGTCCATGACTTTTGTGGATCGCAATTGATTAGAGGTAGAATTCTGAAAGTTTCTCTACCGCGAAATTTCTGAACGATCCGCGTTAATTTGCGCAATAGGGGAAAAAGAATATGGATGCGAGGATTTGCTGCATTGCCCAATTAGCACCTGTGCTAAAAAGCCTTTAGCCGAGACATGGATTTGTTCGTTCTATTAGCACTGCACTGTACCCGTAAGTTTGTTTGCCCTAACGTTTGAGTGGAAATGCGGGGGCCAAAGGTTGATTCTAGCATACATATTTATTTTGGACTCTAGACAATAGAAAATCCATGTTGAATTTTCGAGTATTTCGTGTGAAAAACGGAGGAGGGCGGGGGAACACTATTCGATCCACTACAATAAACACAAAACGGGGCCGACACTCCCAGGGAAAAAGGCCAGACAAACTGGCGGGCCGAATGTATCTGTATCTGTAACGAATCTGACTGTATCTTTGGATTTATTGTTAGAACTGAGCATTAGATACACAAAGAGTGAGAGAGGAAAACCTCGGGTCACTGCAACATGGCCAACAGATGTGCGCAACAGGCTCCCAATCAACGAAATCACCAGAAATCACCAGAGATCAGACAGAATACAAAGGTCTCGGGATCTCGGGAAAGGTCCAAGATGTCACTTGGAGTGTGGCTGGGCCCTAAATCAAAGTCAGGCAATGCTGCCCGATTGTTCTCAGTCCTTTTCTTGTTTCTTTCCCTTGATTTTTTCTTTCTCTTGGCCGGTAGCACTAACGTCCACTGCCATCTCATGGATACCCAGTATCTGTGTATCTGTATCTGCAGCAGCATGGAAATTTTCGTATTGTACCACAAAATTTGTGTCAACGTGGGCGACACTTTATTGTGCCCGTGTGTCGCTGGGTGTGTGTAAAAATAAACCAAAGACATTTCATGTTGTCAGCAACATGTGGAAAAATGCTCGGAATTCGTTCCATTCTTGCACACACTTTTGCATTGAATTAAAATCTTATAGATACACACACGAGACAGCTCTTCATTAACACAACACCACATAATCTCCTCTCCATCAAAAACTAAAGTGCAATTAACCAGACACCAACTCATTTTCGATTCTATCTCAGGTTCGCTGCGGTTCTTCTTTTTTTTCACCTCTCTGCTGCACTTCACGGTCCCAAGGTGAGGTGTTAAAGTTTTATGGAATTTCAACAACGATAAATTATAATTACACGCAGTGCTGGGCATAAATCTACCCACACACATGAAGCACGGATTCTCCTCTGCCACGTCGAACATAATTTGTAAACGCATTAAGTATTCCCCCATATTAACACCTTTTGAGGGTGACTGCAGCCCGTCGGCTCTATAAATATAATTTGAAACAAAACTTTATCGCAAGCGGAAGACTAAAGGGAAGGTCTCTTCCACAAGCAGAATCAAACTGGAATCTAACGAAAATCGTGTGCCGCTTTTGGCGAGCGTCGTTCACCGTCCTCGATAGTATAGTGGTTAGTATCCCCGCCTGTCACGCGGGAGACCGGGGTTCAATTCCCCGTCGGGGAGATGTGATTTTTTTTTTTTTTCATTAGTAAAATATTATTTGTTTTCTTATATTGTTATCAGTTTTAAAGATTGGTTTTTAAGCAGTGAAAGTAGCAAATAAATACATTTTTTTTTTTACGAGTAGGCATAAATTTCGTTCAAAGGTAAGATTAAAAGTCAATTACTTAAATTTAAAAAACTTATAATTCTTATAAAACAAACATTAGAAATAAATATTTGTTAATGTTATAGTTCTGTTCGAAATAAGGTTTTGAGTTTATTTCTTGTATGTGATGCCTGTGCTGAAATACTTATTTTACACGTTTAACTATAAAAACATTATACAAATCAAAATAAAAATTAACAAAAAAAATAAATATAACTTAAACATAAAAAAAATGTTTTCACATCTCTCCCCGACGGGGAATTGAACCCCGGTCTCCCGCGTGACAGGCGGGGATACTAACCACTATACTATCGAGGATGTTGAACTACGCCCGCCAAACTCAAAATTTGGGCTTGCTGGTGATCTGTGTATAAGAGTTCTTTTATCTTGGGCTAATTTTGGACAGAGTAATCTTAAATGTATGAGATGGAGTCTATTATAATAATCATATATCATTGTATTTTCCTCATTATAAACATCATAAAAAGTAACACCAGACCATTTCTAGCAATGTCTAGACTTTTCCCAGACTCACCATTTTCCATGGCTTTGCTTTTCTCGTTGTCGGCTTCTTCGTATCCCTCTAATCCTGGTCCAGATCCATATCCCATTTCCATTCCGCTGAGAGCGGCGGCGGCTATTGCTTCGACATCTGGCTGAACATTCGCACTGAATTCACCTAAAAGGCAAAAAGAGAAAATAAATTGAAAAACTGTGTAACTAATTTGTAAACAACGAAAAAGAAAAAGGGAGAGCGGGTTGGCACTTCAGTTGCTCTTCTGTGGCGCCAGGCAAATGTCAATTAATAATTTAACAACAACAATTGCGCGTTTGTCGGGCGCCTGAAATACGAGATCTTAATTGAAAATAGAAATACAGAGAGTCAGCATTTGGAGAAGAATCGAGGGGAGTATCGAGGAGTAAGAAAAATAAAGGGGAGAATGGACAACTCTCTTCCTGCTGCAAAAGCGGATGAGCGTGGGCCAAGTGGACAGCTAAACGTGTGTCATAAACTTGGTCAAAAGGCCGCAGAATTTAGTGCCTTCCCAGACGGCGATCGTCAGAGAACCAGTTGCCAAGTAGTCAAGGGGAGAGGCATCTTTAAGATACTGTTTGACAGCTCGCCGAGATTACGTCTAGTTCTGTCGTCTGCACGCCACAGTCTTCTGGGGAAGACTCAAAGCCCACGCGAAACACGGGCTTGAAGACCGAGAGA